TAACATCAGGGCACCTGACAAATTCTAAAATGAAACGGGCTGCACTATTGTTCCTTAGCAAAAAACGTAAGTTGATCGAAGGAAACTTCTATCCTGAAGTGTGGAGATTTGGCAAAGATTCTGATAGATTTTGAGAAGTAAAGAAAAGAACGTAGGGAACAGAATGGGAGCTGGAAAAGAATTCAGACTGAACGCTTGAAAATGACTCCATGTGAAGATGCTCTGTTGTAATCGCGGAAAGCCTGGCATAAAGGTGTTCTATTGTTTGTTCTATCTTAATTGCTTGAGAGCCAGAACATTCCTGAGAACTGTGTATCTAGTCAAGATGGGAGAAGGTAGTTGATATTAAATGGAATTTTACTTGTGTGTTTTGGAGACTTTAAAAATTTGGGAGGTGCCTAACTTCAGTCTCTTAAAGCAACAAATATCTTCAGGTGGCATTGCTTTTTAGCTTATTAATTAAAAAACCATTCTTGGACATGATGGACAGTGTTTGTGTCTTGGCATCCAAAGAATGTTACAAAAATGCAAATAAGAATGATGATGGTCTCTAGTTGTTAGGGGTTGGGTGAGTATAGGAGACCCTCTGTAGCAAGTATATACTTATTTCCATGAGTTGGCTTTCTTCACAACATTTGAAAGTATAGTAGGAAATATTTCAGAAATTCAGTGTTGCTTAAACAAAACCTTTCCTAAATGAAAATCATTTGATCTTGTGCTATTTTTCTCACTGCTTCACATTACAATATTGCAGCTAATGATACAGCAATAAGCTGTAACAATTTAGAAATGAAGCTAAAGGTCAAGTGCCTTTAGCCACCTGAAAAATGCACCAATAGTGGACTAATACTCATGAATGGCTCATTAATTTCTAATTTAAAAATTCTTTGTAGGCCTTAATGCAGTGTATTCCTTTGCTATAAAAAGTAGCTCCTAATAAAGTGATGGAAAAACCAAGGAAAGGAGAAAATACTTTTCCTACTATTTAAAAAGCTTGTTTAGATTATAAGCTATTTGAAGTGTAAGCTGCTTTGTGTGTTTGTGCAGCATTCAGCATAGTGGAATCCTGATTGATAGCAAACCCTATTGTAATAAAAATAATTTGCACTATCAGTACCTCGAAGTATGCAGTTTGGGGATGAGAATCTGGCTCTGTGTAGTGGTTGCATTTTGAATGGTGAGGTTCTAACTGTGCAACACTGTGAGCTACTGCAAAGGTGTTCATTGAAGTACTAAACCTCTTTGAACAATCCATGGGCTCAGCTAGACTTTGAACTTTTAATTAGTACAGCTTCAGTCACATATAACTACTATGTACCTTCTTTCTTTTAGTCTGTCTTCTGAAAGCATTTGTTCAGGATCTATTGTTTCCTGCCTAATATATTAATTTCCATAACACTGTATAGCTTCAATATGTTACATGACAAGTATCAGAGGGGTAGCCATGTTTAGTCCATAACTTTGAAAACAGTTTGTAGTCCTGTGGCACCTTAGATTAACAGGTACATATAGTATCACGAGGTATAGTATCAACAGATACATTTAGTATCCCACTTTCTGGCAGCCCTGTCTTGCACACTGAACCCCTCATTTTTGTACCTACCCCAGAGCCTAAGGGGGTCCACAAAATCCACTAGGCAACCACAGAAAAGTAAATCTGGCCTATGAGAAACCCTGAACCTCAGTCCTCCCTGTCCCTTCCCTTCACCCTGTGGGGCTGGAGTGCCAGAGGAGTGAGGTGTCTTAGTTGGGGGCCACATCAGTGAGGGTTGGGCATCTTGGGAGGAGTTTTTTTGCTTCTCACTTGTGTGGTCCCCAACTGATTTTTCTGTGACCCCGACCCAAAAAAGTTTCCCCACCTTTCCTCACTCCTGACGTTAATAAAGAAAACATTGGAAACCTTTTGTTTTGCACATTAATTAATATTTTACTTTATCAAATTTCATCTTCAATAAACATGAGAAAGGTAAAACACTTAGTCTGTTTGGTAATTTAAATTTAAACTATTCTCCCTAGCTGCAGCTTGTTCAGAAAGTGTGGTCACTGTTCCCAGCCTTCCCTTGCTCTCCTCTCCCAGTGCATAGATCCGTAAATAGAAGTGAGTAAATTAAATCTTGGCATGCCACTTCTGAAAGGTTGCCAACCCCTGTATTTGAACATGAATCAGTGTTGTTTTAATTGTAATGAAAATTACCTGTGAGTATGGCAGAAGACTGTCTTGGACTGTTTAACCGGAAAGCATCACCCGATATGTTAATTGGCAACTTTGCTAGTTCCTCTGCCTGCAGTGGGCCAAGCCTGCCCTGAGCATCCTGCTGCACCATACACAAAGGTCACTCCAGCCCATTTACATTCTTATTTAAAGCGACTGGGACTTTTCAGTTTAGAAGAGAGGAGACTTGGGGGGAGGGGGGATATGATAGAGGTATATAAAATCATGAGTGGTGTGGAGGGGGTGGATAAAGAAAAGTTATTTATTAGTTCCCATAATAGAAGAACTAGAGGACACCAAATGAAATGAATGGGTAGCAGGTTTAAAACTAATAAAGTTCTTCTTCACACAGCGTGTAGTCAACCTATGGAACTCCTTGCCAGAGGAGGCTGTGAAGGCTAGGACTATAACAGAGTTTAAAGAGAAGCTAGATAATTTCATGGAGGTTAAGTCCATAAAAGACTATTAGCCAGTGGATAGAAATGGTGTCCCTGGCCTCTGTTTGTCAGAGGCTGGAGAAGGATGGCAGGAGACAAATGGCTTGATCATTGTCTTTGGTCTAGCCTCTCTGGGGCACCTGATGCTGGCCACTGTCGGCAGACAGGCTACTGGGCTAGATGGACCTTTGGTCTGACCCAGTACGGCCGTTCTTATGTTCTTATTTAAAATGTTGAAAATACTGTTATGATATTTCACTAAATGACTACACAATATAATGCACATATGCAAACTGCATATGCAACTGCATATGCAAACACTTAATAAATGTTAGTCACGGAAAACAATTGCTGGTTCTGATCTCTAGGTTAAAAAAATCTTCATTCAACTGCATCTCACTTAAAATATATATATTTGAAACAAGTTACAGAGTAGCCTTGTTAATCTGTTTCAGCTAAAACAACAATTGGTTGGCACTTTAAAGACTAACATTAGGGTATTGGGGCATACAACTCACTTCCTCAGGTGCTGAAAAGGAAGGGACACAGATTGGAGTGGGACATCAATGCTACTTAAATCAGAGTATATGTGGGTCAAATGCAACACTGATGGAAAGGTGAGAGTACTTGAATAGGAAATTACTTATTGTAATGTGAGAACAACAAATGGTCTGGTAGCACTTTATAGACTAACAAAACATGTAGATGGTATCATGAGCTTTTGTGGGCACAGCCCACTTCTTCAGATGACAGGAGTTTTGAGTTTAGGACATGCAGACCCGGTGGTACCAGATCATTTGTTGTTTTTTCCTGTACAGACTAACTCGGCTACCCCTTGAAGCTTCTGAGAGAGCCACTCCATGTCTCACTTCCATCTCTGTATCCCTTCCTTTTCTGTTTTCTTCAGCATCTGAGAGAGTGAGCTGAAGCTCATGAAAAGCTTATGCTCTAATAACCTATTAAATTTGTTAGCCTTTAAAGTGCCACTAGACTCCCTTTTTTGAAACCGTAGAACATTGACCATTAGGTATAGTGAACAGATAACCAGTTCCCCAGGAGCAGCCCAGGATGTGCATGACTAGTCAATTAGTTTCTTCCCTCCCCTTGCTGCCTCTATCAGAAGGAACCCAGAATCTGCCACTTTGCAATACCATTTGTAGACTGGGGTCAGCTGGGGACTCAGAGTTGCCAGCTGACCCTGGGCTCCCTGCAGTGCTGCTGCTTTGAAAGGCTGCAGGGAGTACAAGGCCAGCGGGGAACTGCCCCTCTGGCCCCGTGCTGCCCACAGCGCTTTCACCTTTGAAGTATTGCAACAGCCCAAATTACATTGACTATTCAATTAGCCAATTAATTGACATTTTACATCCTTACCCATGATACGGATGGAGGGCTGCTCCAGCTACACTGGGACCTCGCATGGGGCCACAGTACGCATTTCAGAGGGAGAGAAGCAGAGGAAACCCTCTGGGTCTTCCTCTTCAAAATGTACAGGAGTCGCGGGCAGCTCTTGTACATCAAAGGGAGAGGCTCAGCGGGATACGGAATTTCCTCCTTATTGACTAGTTGAGTAGCTGATGGAGATCCCATTGATTACTTGATGAGCTGATTAATTGAAATTTAACATTCCTAGATGGCATGCTTTTTTTGGTAAAATAAAAGGTGCCAGTACTCCAGGGCAAAAGTTGAGCAAAAAAAAGTTGACAGCAGCACAGAAGTTGGTTGAAAATAAGAATCATGTAGGAAAGTCAGTGTTTATTCATGGCCATCAATTTGATAGAGCCCTCTCAATAACGCTTCTAGAATCTAGGGTAGTAAAAAGCTCCAAGGAAACATACAGTGCTACTAATTAAATATACAGTCCCTTTTGTTGCTAATCTTAGGCAGCAAATTTAAGGTCCTTCCCCTCCCCCCCCTTGCATCAGTGCTGAATAGCGCCTTTTTCTTTCATTGTGATTATTTCATTCAGTGGAATGTCTTTTTAGTAGAAGCAAATTTCTCCAGTATGATGCCTAAATGTAAGTGTGAGGTGTTCCTTTCAACAGCTAGTTGTCATTTAAATATATTTGATTTTTCTTGTACTTGTATAGGAAAAGGGAGAATATAACTTTTTAAATAGGTAGGTAGATAGATAGGTTAACTATCTACCTACCTACCTACACATTTTATGTATGTAGTCGACTTGTTTGAATAAATACGGAACATTGATTTTATTTCCTGTAAAGTATGCTTCATTCTTTAACAAAGTTCACATGCTTAACATTTTTGACATTATTATTCTGTTGAGGAGAAATAAGAATGTAATGTGAAGATGCTTGTTTAACTTTTTCTTTTCTTTTTTCTTTTTTTTTCAGGAGCGAAATAGAAACAAACAATAACTATATGGAGATGTCCTGCTAGAATTACAACACTAATGATGTAGACTCTGGAAATGCCTAATATGTCTAAGAAGACGTTATTAAAGCTTTTTTTTCTGCTTAAGGTGACATCTTTGAACACTTTAACACAAATTGACTCTTCTTGTAATGGTTCTCATCAGTGCATCTGCCCTTATACTCTCTCACCAAACACACTTGAGAACTGTAACTTCGTCAAGCACTTTCTGTCCTGAAGCTTTTACCAGTATCTGCTGTCTTTTTGTATTTATGCATCCTAGCTAAGGCACAGGAGACGGAACGAATGCAAGGATTCATTAACTCTTTGAATTTGTTAAATACTAACAATTAACCATTAGAAGTGATTCAATGATGTGAGATTCACATTGCTTCAACTTATTTTTTCTTTGTTGTAGTTTTTTTTTTTAATTGTCAGTTTTTAGCTATTCAACAGATTAAAAGCAAAATCATGCCATATTTAGTCCTGGAGTAAAACTCAAGTCTAAATGTTCATGTGAAAATTATTGTAGTAAACTTTTAATATGGCAAAGCAACTTTGAGATGCAGTTTAGCCAAATGAAACGTAACATAAAATTATATTAGAATGACATTTCCCTTGTTTCAAACTGTTTGGTGTAAGAGAATATTAATATGCAGCTTGGTGGACAGCACCAGTTAATGCACACTTCTTTATTTTTTCTGTAATATGTATACCGAAAAAAGTGCATTTGTCTGAGGAACTGTTTGTTTGCTACCACTCAATGAATCTCAGTTTTGAGTAAATGTACCTCAGTCTAAATCAGACTTTTTATGACCTTTATAACTACATTTAAAACCTTTAATTCCTATTTCTGGGTGTTTGCAAGCCTGACAGATTGCTATCATGGAAGTGAAATTTATTCCTCTAGGTGATTCACTAGCTAAATAAACATAATTCTTGTTTAGCAAGCATATACTGTTTCTCAACTTTTTTTTTCTCCTATTATCATAGTATTCAGGCATTCTCTCTCCTCAAACTTTTGGAGAAAAATTTTGTTCAATGCATCAAGTCTGTGTTCACATCCATGTGTACCTGTTATTGGCTAGAGCTCTCTTAACAAAGTATTTAAGATGCTATTTCAATCTGACTACTTCTGTGCTAAATTTAGCTTTTGAAAATTATTTTTTACAGTAATGTTTTTAGCAACATGAATTTTATCTGATGGAAGAGTTTGTGTGATCAAACATATCAAGCAGCTGTATGAACGGCATAAAATATTGAGCAGTCTGTACAGACTCCAGAGATAGTTTTCTCTTTTTAGAACAGCAGTGTAGAAGACAGATATGTTAAAGCTTAAAATAGCAATACTGCACATTTGAATGCCTTTGGTGTGTCTTGTTATCTAACACAAATGTTTACATGGTGTTTTGGAATCTTTTGCATTTACAACGGCTTCTAGTCAGCTGAGTTGACATTTAGAGAGAGCCTAAATTTTAAAAAGCCATGCTATTTTACTATATAGGCACTACTTTTTTCTACATGCACGCACCTCTGTCAAAATTTAATTTATTTTGCTGGAGTTAGCTTGTCTGAGTACTCTGAAAGTTCAAAAGGCACCTGGCAGTGTAGAGAAGAAAGCAGCTTGATTCAAATGCCGAGAGGTACAGGAAGAGGCCAGGAGATGAACAGAAAGGGACAAGCTGTGTTTGTGTCGTGGAATTACAAGCTAGGGACTGTGGCAGAAGGAGCTATGACTGAGTACAAGTCCCTTCTGGACCTGGATTTGAATCTGAGTACTCTGAAAGTTCAAAAGGCACCTGGCAGTGTAGAGAAGAAAGCAGCTTGATTCAAATGCCGAGAGGTACAGGAAGAGGCCAGGAGATGAACAGAAAGGGACAAGCTGTGTTTGTGTCGTGGAATTACAAGCTAGGGACTGTGGCAGAAGGAGCTATGACTGAGTACAAGTCCCTTCTGGACCTGGATTTGAAATCCTGAATCCCAGCATTCTTTTGTCTACCAAATAGCTATAAAATAGTGGCAAACTGTTAAATCTCTCTCCTATTGGTTAGTCTACAGAGGGAAATAGCCTACTAGCTTAAGTGGCAGATATTAATGCTGTGAGTCTAACGGGTCTACCCATAATGGCATCTGTGTGTTTTCACAAGATGGAATTTGGGTTTGCTATTGCTTTTTAAAACAATGTAGGCTATTACAGAAGGACTACAGGGAGGGGAACTACAATGAAAGAATGTTGCTAGCAAATTAAGCATTCAAAAATCAGGAAATGCCAGAATCAAGTATGGGTACTCAAAATTGACACGTCTGAGAGAATGCTGAAAGAGACTGACTGAACCAGAGATGAAAGTTAAGCCAGTGTGCCTCTCCAGTGAGAAGAAGCTGGTCAGAGGGGAGCGCTTGGCTGCAGGAGGAGGTGGTGTGCACTCCCAGCCCAGCTCCCAAGGCTCTGCTACAGGCTTCTGCACTAAGCAGCAGGCAGTCAGGCAGGTGTAAGGGACTGCCGGGGGAAGGAGGGAGAACACTTCATTGATCTGAGACTGTCCCAGTCCCAAGCCTCCCTCTCCCCTCCGCCCCCCGGCACCTTCAGGTAGGGCAGGGGGCTGAAGCACACTCTTCCCTGAAACTCAGATTCAACCCAGGACACTAGTGGTTGTTCTCCTTTGTCGCTGTCAGAGAGCAAGGGGAAAGTTCACAATTTGCTGCATTCCTCACTCTGGTTGGGGAGAGCAGGGGACAGGTGAGCTGTGCACTTTGGTCTTGCTCCCTGAAAAAGGCAGGAAGTGGAACAGCAAAGCCACACACCCAGACCCCTGCCTTGACAAAGATTCCTCTCCATACACACCAACCCCCTGACTCCTGCTCCCCCAAACCTGACCCTGCACCGCTCCACGCTCCAGCCCTTGCTCTGAACTCCTCCAACCCTGGCATGCCCCCACATCTCCAGCTCCTTGCCTTGAGCTTCATCACATCCTGACACTTCCAACCCCGTGCCTTGAGCTGCACTCCTACCCACACTTAAATTTCTTAGTTATCACACCTGCCTCCCAACCTCCAGTGGATACGACAGTACCTATACAAAATTAAACTTACTTTCACTACTGGACTGAATCAAGATGAGCAAGAAAAATAGGATGGACATGGAATAGGTTGTCTCAATAAACCTTACAGAAAAGAGAGAAACTGGAGAAATTTGGAGTAGTGTTCTTTTTTAACATAGCTAAACCAATGCTTCCAGTTTGAAAAATAGAAGAAAACGTTAATTGAAAACCAAATCGACTATAGTCCTTTTGTTAAAACATAGTGAATGATTATAATTTATAGGTATTAAGATAAAAATGCACTTGGAGTTCCCAAGCAATGCCAGGTACATCTGCTAGTACACTCTAAATAAACAGGAGCCTGAATGGTATTAGGTACACAAAATTCATGAGTATTTGGGTATTTTTGTCCTTTAGGGTCTATCATTTTATCTATAGAAAGGGGATGACAAATCCTACCTATATCACAGGAGTATTGTGAAAATAAGTTCTCAGATACCATAGTGATGACTGCCATCAAAAAGTCCACAAAGAAAAAACTAATTCTGTAGTCAGTGTGGGGCTTGGGTGATGTAGTAGGTAAGGTACAAGGTCACACACAAAATGAAAATGAAATAGTTATTCGGTGAGCATAATCCATTCTGTGCACAAGGGGTTGGTAGAAAATACATTGTGATCCTGTAACAAGACTGTTATACGTATGTACAAGAGGGACACACTAACTTTGCATGAGCAGCCATAATTGTGCTATTCTCTAGCTTTTGAGTTTTGCTTGGCTGTAATTTCAACATTTTTAAATGAGAAATGCATCTTGTCACAACTGATGGCCTAAACAAAATGGAGGTACTATTTTCTTTGAGAGACTTCTGTACTGGGGCAGACTCTCACCTATTGTCACTTAAGCAAGTTCCAGCTCTTCAGGTTTCTTCATCTCTTTTGGTAACTTACTATATTTTTGCATGTAAGGAAGTTTGCTCCTTTTAGAGCTGGTCTCTTCTTCCTGCTTGATTCTGTAGCAGTGACATGCTGAATCATGACTGCAAATTTTCCAAAACTCACTGGAGGAAAAAAGTTGATCTCAAAGCCCAGGTCTGTGGCACCAAACAGAAAATTGAGCTGAGGAAAGAGGCTTTTAAAGTTTAGTATCTCCATAGCAAGAAGGATGATTAAATGGTTTTCCAGATGTTGCTAACAATTTAAAAATTTAATATAGACCGGGTCTGTGGGGGCAGAGGTGAGGGGGGGTGTTTTGATTTTTTTTGTTTGTATGGCAGCATTAACTTTTTAAAATGGATCCTTGACGTTTGAGGCATTCAAATACCTAACATTGTTTATTGGGGAATGGTTAGGAAAATTTTAGAATAATAATCAATATAAGCAGTTTGTTCATTTCAACTTATTTTGCTTCCATTTTCATTTTAAGGAAATGACAACTATTTTCAGTAACAGCTTTGTATTCTTTTTCTGTCTTTTGTATTGTCTCTTTTTCTGGTTAAAATTTAAGGAAAAGATTAAGAGAAAATGGTTCGTTTAACTTAATTCATAGCAGAACATGGGTATTTGAATTTTGTTTGTTCCTTCATGTGAAATAGAATGCAGTTAATTAGGTGAGGACTTCGGTTTCGCATGAAAACTCACCGTTTGGTCCTTTTTAATTCTTGTGAGGGTTTCAATAAACAGAATCTGTTCACGTGGCTGACTATTTCAATTTTCTCCATTTGTAGAGTGTAACATGCTCCCTGATATCAACATTTACTTTTAGTCTGGCATCATCAAATTCCACAAAAGGAAAATTGTCTGTCAAGGAATTTTAAGTAAATGACTGATTTTTTTTTTTAAACCCCACTTATATTGCAATATGGGCTATACATTTGTATACATAAATTATGCCAAAAGTCTCTGAGTTCTAACAGCATGAATAAGGGGAGAACTTTTTCTACCATGTCAAATCTGTTATCCGATTTCAGCCTGGGAGGGTAGTTAGTTTTTTTGGTGCGGATTTTATAAACCTTGAAACAAATTTATATTGATGACATGCTACAGTGTCTAGCATAATTGGGCCCTAATCTACTGTAACATTGGAACAGTAATATATTGTTTGAACATTTGGAGTTATTAATATTTCCAAAATTTGATGCTCTCCTCCTAGCTATTGATCACTTCTCTAAAGTCAAACAATTAGGATTTCTCCTTTGCCTGATTCCCCTTATCCCCATCAGAAGTCATTCATGCTACAATCAAACCAGAAGCACCCAGACTGCAACTTCAAGCATTTAATTACAAGAGGATCCCCAAGGTTGGCTGTGGCCACATCCAGATAAGATGGGGACAGAAAGAGGCTTTTCACTTTCCCTCCTGCCCCACTGCCAGATCATGAGGGAGTGGCTTTTGAGCAGAAAGTCTCTTCATATCCCTGTCAACTGCCTTGTTTAGAACCTGATGGGAGAAGCACAACATGGGCTATTATCTCCTATATTCATTATGTGTGGTAAGATTACCAGGTCCTTTTTGCATATTCCTTTTATGGAGGGCTCCTTCCAGAATTTGCTTCTTTTTAGATCCGTAGCAGCACAGAAGCACCTCCTTTTTCCCCCATGACTTTCTTCCTCATGGGTAGGTAGAGAAGTATTCCCACTATAACTTGTATGTACTCTGCCATACAATGCCCGTCTCTTTCAACAGGGCTGCAGTGTGTTAATAGAAATTTAGGAAAGGATTATGGATGTTAAAGTGTAGTCAATTAACCGATAAGCAAAAGCTCAGACCCCACCTACACAGGGTCTGCTGCCACCCCTCTGTATCAGAGGCAGCAACACAGAGCGACAAGCAGCTGGTCCTTGAGGGGAGCTGTTTTTTAAACTGCCTCCCATCATGGACCAGCTCCCACCTGGCACCTCGCACTGCTGCTTCTGATA